TACATCATGTGACACTACATCTGATACATCATGTGACACTACATCTGATACATCATGTGACACTACATCTGATACATCATGTAACACACCATGTGACAGACCATGTGGCACTACATCTGATATATTATGTGACACACTCATACATCATGTGACACTTCATCTGATACATCATGTGATACACTCATACCTCATGTGACACTTCATCTGATACATCATGTGACACTACATCTGATACATCAATTGACACTACATCTGACAAATCATGTGACATTACATCTGATACATCATGTGACACACTCATACCTCACGTGACACTTGATCTGATACATCATGTGACACTACATCTGATACATCATGTGACACTTCATCTGATACATCATGTAACACACCATGTGACAGACCATGTGGCACTACATCTGATATATTATGTGACACACTCATACCTCATGTGACACTTCATCTGATACATCATGTGACACACTCAAACATCATGTGACACTACATCTGTCACATCATGTGACACACTCATACCTCATCTGACATATCATGTGACAGTACATCATGTGAATCACTGTTTAGTGTCTACATCATGTGACATATTGAATAACACAACATGTGACACATCTGACAACAGCTGTTACAACAAGTGACACACTCTTTAATACATCATGTGACGTATTGAATGAAACATCATGTGACATATTACTTACCTAAAATTGCCCTCCATCTTCTCCCTCCTAAATACATAGTCAACAACTGGGGACATTAACAACTTGTTGAACACTGTTCCTACCAGGAAGAAGCCTAGGACTCCCACTGGACCTAAGTATCCTGTTCTAATGGAAACAAGTTAAAATATTTTAATGATTAAAATATCACACAGCTGTTCACAGGATCTAAATATCTTGTTCTAATGGAAACAAGTTAAACACTTAAATCATTGAAACATCACACAGCTGTACATATTATCTAAACTTTCTGGTGATATTGATAAATATTGATAAATAGTAATTCTCTAGTCTGGCAATGCATATAAAATTCAATAAAGAAGATTTATTTGCTTCAACTTTTGTTGTGATATTTTCAAACATATGTGACTGACCTCAGTACTGTGTAGTGTTTCTTACAGATTAAATTGCATAAGCACAGTACCTATTATATAGGTGTTTTAATTATTTCAGCAGTTTTGTTCATTCACTACATAACATATGTTGCTCTTAAAATGATGAATACTTACTTTTGTATACATTGATAGATATAATACCCTATTGTGAAAGGGGAGATAACTAGAGGTGACAATATTTCACTGAAGTAAAAACAAAGTCGCTCAACATCCTGAGTAATACGCTGGTCACTGAAAAAGATAAAACATGGTTCATTATGTGACCTGGATATGTAACACGCAATATATATAAAATGTGAAAATACTTCTAAGATTACAAGTTTTTACAACAAAATGGACTGACTGTCATGAATATCAAAGTTTTAAACATATTTTTTTATACCGGTATGGATCTCTACTGTGACCTTTGACCCCATGACCTTAGAATTTTGTCACAATGTAGCTTGCATCCATGCTACACATATACTCCAAGGTATGTGCATACAAAATACCTACCATTTCTGAGATAATTAGCCATTTCAGTAACATAATGCATCTGTAACCTTTGACCTCATGACCTCGGAAGTTGCCCTAAGAGTATAGTAGCTTGCATTAATACCTAAAATATTCCAATATGTGTTTACAAAATACCTACTGTTTCTGAGATAATTAGCCATTTCATAATGTGATTTATCTGTGACCTTTGACCCCTGACCCCTGATCTTGGGAGTCTGTCAGTAGAGTAGCTTGCATTAATGCCTACAATATTCCATGTACATGTACATACAAAATACCTACCAATTACGAGACAATTAGCCATTTCAGTAACGTAATTCATCTGTGACCTTTGACTTCTGACCCCATGACCTTGGAAGGTGTCGGTAGAGTTGATTGCATTAATGCCTTCAATATTCCAATGTGTGTACATAAAAAATACCTACTGTTTACAAGATAATTAGCCATTTCAGTAACGTAATTCATCTTTGACCTTTGGCCCCCAAGACCTTGGACGTTTGTCATTAGAGTAGCTTTCATTTAAGCCTACAATATTTCAATGCATACATGCATACAAAATACCTACCGTTTCTGAAATATTTAGCCATTTCAGTAACAAAATTTACCTTTGACCTTTGACCACAAGACCTCAGATGTCAGTTGAGATTGGAAATTTTGGTTTTCATTTAATCATAACAGTTGAATTGGGAATAAGTAACCACATTCTTGTTTCATATTTGAACTAGGAATGAGGTAACAGAAAAAGGTAGCCCATCTGTCAACCATAATATAGGAATATAAAGTTGTCTACATTGGCCAGAGACTGTATAAAATAAACATCTAAACATTTCCTTCAGTGAAATTTCTCCCATATTTCCATTGAATTTAAATATTTTGTAAGAGAAGAAATTTGGTTAGTCTCTTTTGCAGTAATGAATTCCCCTTTATTTAAAGGTGAACAGAAAAAATATGATTATGAGGGATATTTACAAATTTGATAAATAACATTCTATGATAGACATTGATCCTCAACAGTAAAGACATTTAATGCCATATATCACATAGAACTTCGCTGCATTTTGGTTGAAATGTTACATGAAGTTGAAAAGAAATCTTATTTCAATATTTACTAAATCACGACTCTGATTTTGTCACCAATTATGCTCAAAAAATTGATAAAGCTGACAAAGTATATGAGAAACCTTAAAAACTTACGGATTGTCTGTAGAGCTGAGAACATTGATTTTATAGTACAAATAATCTTTAAAGTACTTCTGATGTATCCTCTTGGTAAGCAAACCCCGCAAAAGGATGTATAAAATGGACCCAACAAAGGTTATAGTACTCTTTATCTGAAACAAAAACAGTTATACAATTTATCTATCCGGATGTACTATCATTATAGGAAATCTCCGAGTTATCTTAATATACCTCCACAGGTACATGTATGTAATATAGGCCCATTACATTTACAGAAACATGACAAATAAACTGTATCAACTTACCAATGATTCTGAGATGATCAACAGTAAGGCGAGGAATGTTTCATGTACAAATCCTTCATAGTCCTTGTTACCAAACACCTCGTAGTACTTGGACGGCACATATCCGATGTTAAACACTACCACTTGCTCTGAAGTGGAAAACTCATAACATTCACACAAAAAAACGTTCGTACATTTCCAATGAAACTGATTTTTCACTTCAAATCATTACTATTTATGTAATTGTTCTCAGCACTGGGAATGCATTTTGTTCATGTCTATGTTTAAATTTGTCATATTGAAATTGATATATATATATATTTTGTTATATTGAAATTGAAAGAATATTGGTTTTTAACAGTGAGGTTCACGTAATACTTTTAAAAAGATTCAATATAAATACAATCAACTGTATTATAATAGTAGTCTAATAAGACTACAGACAAATCTGCATTACTGAGACAGTAGCTTTTATATAAAGTACCTAGGAGTCTGAGGCTGAGTAGGAAGGGGATGAGCAGGGACTGTTTACTAATCAGACTGTATGTATACTGTACCTAGGAGTCAGAAGCAGAGGAGAAACAGGTAGAGCAGGGACTGTTTACTACACAGTCTGGTTGTATACTGTACCTAGGAGTCTGAGACAGAGGAGAAACAGTTAGAGCAAGGACTGTTTACTAATCAGACTGTATGTATACTGTACCTAGGAGTCCGAGGCAGAGGAGAAACAGGTAGAGCAGGGACTGTTTACTAATCAGACTATGTATACTGTACCTATGAGTGTGAGGCAGAGAAGAAACAGGTAGAGCAGGGACTGTTTACTAATCAGACTGTATGTATACTGTACCTATGAGTGTGAGGCAGAGAAGAAACAGGTAGAGCAGGGACTGTTTACTAATCAGACTGTATGTATACTGTACCTATGAGTGTGAGGCAGAGAAGAAACAGGTAGAGCAGGGACTGTTTACTAATCAGACTGTATGTATACTGTACCTATGAGTGTGAGGCAGAGAAGAAACAGGTAGAGCAGGGACTGTTTACTAAACAGACTGTATGTATACTGTACCTATGAGTGTGAGGCAGAGAAGAAACAGGTAGAGCAGGGACTGTTTACTAATCAGACTGTATGTATACTGTACCTATGAGTGTGAGGCAGAGAAGAAACAGGTAGAGCAGGGACTGTTTACTACACAGTCTGTATGTATACTGTACCTAGGAGTCTGAGACAGAGGAGAAACAGGTAGAGCAGGGACTGTTTACTACACAGTCTGTATGTATACTGTACCTAGGAGTCTGAGGCAGAGGAGAAACAGGTAGAGCAGGGACTGTTTACTACACAGTCTGTATGTATACTGTACCTAGGAGTCTGAGGCAGAGGAGAAACAGGTAGAGCAGGGACTGTTTACTACACAGTCTGTATGTATACTGTACCTAGGAGTCTGAGGCAGAGGAGAAACAGGTAGAGCAGGGACTGTTTACTACACAGTCTGTATGTATACTGTACCTAGGAGTCTGAGGCAGAGGAGAAACAGGTAGAGCAGGGACTGTTTACTACACAGTCTGTATGTATACTGTACCTAGGAGTCTGAGGCAGAGGAGAAACAGGTAGAGCAGGGACTGTTTACTACACAGTCTGTATGTATACTGTACCTAGGAGTCTGAGGCAGAGGAGAAACAGGTAGAGCAGGGACTGTTTACTACACAGTCTGTATGTATACTGTACCTAGGAGTCTGAGGCAGAGGAGAAACAGGTAGAGCAGGGACTGTTTACTACACAGTCTGTATGTATACTGTACCTAGGAGTCTGAGGCAGAGGAGAAACAGGTAGAGCAGGGACTGTTTACTACACAGTCTGTATGTATACTGTACCTAGGAGTCTGAGGCAGAGGAGAAACAGGTAGAGCAGGGACTGTTTACTACACAGTCTGTATGTATACTGTACCTAGGAGTCTGAGGCAGAGGAGAAACAGGTAGAGCAGGGACTGTTTACTACACAGTCTGTATGTATACTGTACCTAGGAGTCTGAGGCAGAGGAGAAACAGGTAGAGCAGGGACTGTTTACTACACAGTCTGTATGTATACTGTACCTAGGAGTCTGAGGCAGAGGAGAAACAGGTAGAGCAGGGACTGTTTACTACACAGTCTGTATGTATACTGTACCTAGGAGTCGGAGGCAGAGGAGAAACAGGAAAAGGATGGACTGTTTACTACACAGTCTGTATGTATACTGTACCTAGGAGTCCGAGGCAGAGGAGAAACAGGTAGAGCAGGGACTTTTTACTACACAGTCTGTATGTATACTGTACCTAGGAGTCCGAGGCAGAGGAGAAACAGGAAAAGGATGGACTGTTTACTACACAGACTAGGGAACATCCATCCAAGCAGCCGTAAGAAACGTTTCAGAAACTTGTAGTCAAACTTTAAACTGAAATAAATGAAAAGAACATCTTAATGTTAATTTTTTGTAGCATTTAAGCAGACAAAATTATTTATTTTACTATTTTACTATTTGTAAGTCATAAACAATGACACACTGCTGTTAGACCCTGAAAGAATTATTTATCTCTCACATCACTGACAATTATCTTACAACCCTAAATAAGGTCATTGCAGGGGAAGAGCAACATTATACACCAGTCCTACTGTATGTACCTAACTGACATACTTTAAATCCTTTTGATGCATTCTTGTATTAAAATGTATGGCAATATATATATCAAAATGAAACCAGGAAAAACTGCATTTGCCCTGTACAAACGTATCAACATAACTTTTTTCGTGTTATCGCCCTTTGAAAGTGACGGTGGCACCCGGAGTAAAGCAACTTCCAGTTTAGGTAGGTGTCTATGTTTCCAGTATAAGCGAGTGTCGAGTGTTCACCGTCTCCAAGATGTAACGGTATCTAATGTAATTTGTGTGTGATATATTATACCCTATTGTAATCATTATATATACTTTTTATAACATTTTATACAACTTTTTTGATATGTTATAGTTATTAATTATATATCATGGAGATTGATGATCCTAGTGATATGACTCTAGATATATTTTCTATGTGGAGTCTGGAGAGTTGATTCTCTCAAACTTTTTCTGAAAAAAAGAGGGTTAAATAAGGACGGTTCCAAATGTGAACATAAACTTGCTAGATTTGCATAGATTTCTCGTAGATCCACCACAAGCCTATTGGTTACAGATGAAGCTTCCAAATTGCTTCCGGGTGCATTCGTTTTTGTTCCTATTGGGCGTGTTCAACCTGGATCTACCGATGATCGATTAAACAAGACTATGATCGATCCTCAGAATCGGTGGGCTCCAACCAACCATTAATCGATATTCCCGGTCATCGGCACAACACTAGTGATGACAGTGGGTATAAACATTGAATAGCCACATAAGAGCTGTTAGTTCATTACAATCAAAAAACATGGTTTAACTAAAAGGAAATGTAAGTCGAGACTATAAAATCGAGACCGGTCACTGATATTGAATCAGGAAATTTTCTCTCGTTGTTGGAATAGGACTGAGTGTTAATAAAAATAACATCAAAACAAGACAGCAAATTTCTTCACAATTGGAAATAAAAGATAATGGAAGTAGTAGGTATTGGTTTACTTTTTTTTTTCAACAAATGAAGATTAAATTTTCCCAATTAATGGTTGAGATGTATTTTTTTTTCCTAACCTAGGTTAACAAGGATACCCCTCTTGAATTTTGACTTCTTTTCAAATTTTTCTCATTATTTGTTTTTGATGAAAGTGTTGTGATTTATTTACTTTTAAAAATTGATAACTATACCCGAATCGTTTCCACGTGTAAACCTCATTCTAAAATACTTTAAAATATCAATAAATCTGCAATTTTAGTTCCAAAAGATGCTTCAGAATAACACAAATGAGATCATTCTATGTAATATGCCGGATTATTTCTGTGTTAAAGTTCTCACGTTTTCTCGCTAATTCAGAGATAAACTCTCACTACTTTTTACCAGATCTCACTAAAAAAATCATGGACCTCATTATTTTGCACCGGATAGTTATGGTATGTATTTTAAGGTCGGAGGTATGTACTCTTGCTATTAGATAAAGCTAGCCGCATTCTGTAATTTCATGTTTTTCTTAACACTACACAATGTATTTACAAAAGTTTTAATATTCTGATTATAATCGATCAATCGTTCATGAAAAGTCTTCCAGTAATCAATTATAATATCTCATCCGATTCCCAACAGTGCCAATACTGGACCAAACTCTTGTTAATACTTATGAGACCTATATATAGAAAACATCTTTTAATTTTATGCTCAGTGTGCATCTGTCTAGGGTTTGGAGGGTCTGGGTTCAAACCCCAGTCTGGCTGTGCATTTTTCCTCTCCTGTAATTAACATGTTATGAAATACAGGATATGGACATAGTCGTAAACAGGCACCAATCCCAAAACAGTGAAAAAAAGGGCTACATCATTGTTACTGGTGATCTTAGCCAGGGAAGCTTGATGAAAAATATGTAATGTACAAAAAATTGTAATTCAACACTTAAAGTACATTAAAGTACACATAAAATAACTTGTTGAAGTTTAAAAGGTGTCATCTGGGAACAAAATATGTCTAACTGAAAGCACAAAATCAGTAAAATGTAATTCAGTGCAAGATATGTTATATTTTAAGCTCAGTAAGTCCATTACACTACGGAAAAAAGATAATACTGGTTTTTTTTCAGTTGTAAACAACAGGTACACCTCAAACTGACAAAATGACAAAGGAGTGTACATGTATGTATGGTTGATAAAGTCATCTAGATCTGGCTACCTATTAGATAGATGACAATTTTAATAATTCATTAAATTGTAAAAACATTGACAGAATTTTAAACATCCGTGGTCAAGATGACAATTTTTTTTTTTTTAAAAGCACTTAAGGTTAGGTTTAGGGTTAGGGTTATAGGGTTAAATAAATGATAAATGACTATGGTTAGGGTTCTTTTGCTTCATAAGCTTGGGGGTTGGGGTTAGCTTATGCTGAAAAGGACCATAACCTTATATCTTTATTAACAAACAAGTTTGCTAGATTTTGTCCTTGATTTAATCAAAATAAAGATTTGGACAAAATCCTGTCATTCCTACAAAAGAAGTAGTATTTTAAAGAATTTGCTATGTTTCCCCTATCAAGCCCCTCCCCTCTGCCAAAGGGGGTCAGACTCAACGTTTATACAAAATATAGTCCCCTTCACCAAAGAATGTTTTAGACCAAATATGGACAAAATCCTGTCATTCCTACAGAAGAAGATTTTTTTAAAGAATTTGCTAAATTACCCCTAGTGGGCCCCACCCCTCTGGCCCCAGGGAGGTCAGACCCACCATTTATATAAAATTGATTTCCCTTCCCTATAGGACGCTAATGTTCAAATTTGGTCAAAATACCTTCATCCCAAATGGAAGAAGAAGGATATTAAAACTATTCCTCTATATCCCTTATCGGGCCAGCCTTTCTGCCCCCAGGGGGGTCAGGCCAAACGTTTATACAAAGTTGGTTTCCCTTCACCAAAGGGTGCTTCATACCAAATTTGGACAATATCCTGTCGTTTCTACAGAAGAAGGATTTTGAAGAATATGCTCTATTTCCCCTATTCGACCCGCCCCTCTGTCCCCAGAGGGGCCACCCCCACCGTTTATACAATATTGAGTCCCCTTGGCCCAAGGATGCTCCAGACTTAATAAGAATAAAATCCCTTAATCCCTATGGTAGAAGAAGGATTTGACAGGTTTTACCTCTATTTCCCCTATTTGGCGCCACCCCTATGCCCACAGAGGGCCCACAACTAACTAATCATTATATTATGTTTGTACGTTGCAGGTAGCAGTCATCCTTCAGAATTTGCAGCTGCCCCTCACTGCTTCTCTTCAAATTCATGACAGGACTGTCCATAGAACCCCAGCCAATCCAACACCACCAAAGCTCAAGTTGGACCCACCAATTGTTTCTGCTGGATGTGACCCAGACCAATGGTCAGCTTTTACCAGGCAGTGGAACATGTATAAGGTTGGAATGGCCATTACGGACACTGTTCTCCCCACTGCGCTATTCCGCAGGTGCCATGTGTGCTACTCATACCAACCCCAAGCCACCCACATCGTCTGGAGCGAGATGCTGGGCATGCGGTAGCGCAGCTCACAGACTCAAGAATGACCGCAGGGCCAGATCTCAAAATTGTGAGGCATGGACATTTACGTGCGCTAAGTGTTCAGTGAAGGGACAATTCACTACATCCTGCAGCAAGTGCACAACCTGTGGTAACTGGGGTCACCGTAATGCCTCATCCAGAATTTGTCCTCAGGGTACGGGTCGCAGGAATTCTTCCAAAGGCCATGCTTCTGGAGTTTCATCTAAGGACACAAACTTGGACAAAGCCGGTTATGTGTATTACCAACTGTGCACAGCAATAGCGAAGAGTTGCTCCAAGAACACTTCTACCATTTGCCCCGGGCTTCGAAGGCAGGCCCCAAGACTTGAACATCATGTGTATGAGGGACAGTGGGTAGCTCGCCCCTCCAGGCCCCACCCCATGTTGTCGGTTAACATGACACCGTTGCCAGAAGATCACACCACCTTTGGACACCCCATGCAGAAGTCGTCAAAACTGAAATCAGTCACAATACCTATGGTGGCTGACACAGGGTGTCAGAGTTCGATAATACCCCTGAAATCTGCCTATACTATGGGAATGTCGAAACAGGATTTTCTCCTTGTTAAGCCTATCATGCATGGAGCTATAAAAGAAGACCTTGGTGTAATGGGAGCGGTTGTGGTAAACATTTCCACGGGAGACATTACTGACTCTACACAGTCAACATGCATACTTTGCTATGTATCTGACACTATGGAAAAGGCCTTCCTTTGCAGTGAAGCGCTCATATCTCTCGGGGTTATTCACACGGAATTCCCCAATGTGCCTACGGATGTCCCCGCCTCAGTTGAGGACTCTGAGGAGATAACTTATTCTTGCCCCAGGCGTCAAACGGAACCCCCAACACTGCCGACTACGCTACCCCCAGGACTATGGGCCACATAAGAGAACATCGGGGCTCTCAGAGATTGGCTTCTTGACTATTATGGTTCCACAACCTTCAATGTCTGTGAGCATCAACCATTGCCTCTTACGAAGGGTGAGCCCTTACAGCTCCATGTTGATCCCAAAGTGAAGCCAGTGGCAATTCACGAGCCAGCACTTTTCCCAATTCACTGGCAGGATAAGGTCTATGCTGATATTGAGAGGGATGTTCGCATCGGTGTTATTGAGTGCGTCAGTCCAACCACTCCTACAACATGGTGCTCGAGGATGANTCTATGCTGATATTGAGAGGGATGTTCGCATCGGTGTTCTTGAGCGCGTCAGTCCAAACAGACTGTCCGCCAGACTCATCATGTACCTAGCCCCTTCCATCTGGCAGACCGTGTTCCTCAAGGTACGAGAAAAACAGTAACAGACGCCTGGAATGGGTACCACTCTGTGCCAATCCAAGAAAACGATCGACATAGCACGACCTTCATCACGCCCTGGAGGCGATATAGGTACAAAGTGGCTCCCCAAGGATTTCTCGCTAGCGGTGATGCTTACAACCAGCGCTTTGATGCCATAATTTCCAATTTCCGGTACAAGGTCAAGTGAGTGGATGATACTTGCATGTGGGCAGGGTCCATTGAAGCGGCATTCTTTCAAGCATGTGAATGGTTTGACCTGTGTGCTCGTAATTGCATCACACTTAACCCAAAGAAGTTTCAGTTTGCCCAGGACACCGTTGACTTTGCAGGACTGACAATCACTCCAACAAACATTCGCCCTAGTGCTAAGTTCCTAGATGCTATCAGAAATTTCCCCACACCAACTGATATCACTGGTTTTAGGGCATGGTTCGGGCTTATTAACCAGGGTACGTACGCCTTTGCCAGGACAGGACAGATGAAACCTTTTCGGACTCCGCTAAAACCGTCTACAAAGTTTGTCTGGACAGATGAGCTGGACCAGCTATTCAATCAGTCCAAGGAGGTCATCATACAGGAGATGAAGGAAGGGGTGCGCCTGTTTGACCCTGATCGACCGACTTGCTTTGCTACTGACTGGTTCATTGATGGAATAGGGTTCTTCTTGATGCAGAAGTACTGCCAGTGTACTGATAAGACTCCTGCCTGCTGCCCTGATGGTTGGAAGCTGTGTTTAGTTGGCAGCAGGTTTACACCTCCTGCTAAAAGCTGCTATGCTCCCATTGAAGGCGAAGCCTTGGCCATTGTTTATGCACTCCACCAGTCTCGCTATTACGTGCTAGGATGCAAAGATCTACTCATAGCCACGGATCATAAGCCACTACTTCAGATCCTGAACGATAGGTCACTTACAGATATTAGTAACAGACGACTTCTTAACCTCAAGGAAAAAACTCTTGGGTACAGGTTCACAGTTGTACATGTTCCTGGAAAGAAGAACCAAGGTCCGGATGCTTCTTCTAGACACCCTGCGTCCCCGCCCGAGCACCTACAATTGCCTGGCGAAACTTTGAACCTTGATATGGATGACAACACATCTATCCCATTGCATGACACCCTCAATAGCCTTTGCCAGCATAGTGAGAACGAGGACATGGCTGATGACAGACTCACTGTTGCAGCAGCGACTACTGCGTTGAATTCTGTTGTCACCGTTGTTACATGGGACATGGTTCGAGAAGCTACTGCATCAGACAGCACATTCGTCAACCTCAATCACCACCTAGAGGCTGGATTTCCTGAAGATTGCAGAGAGCTATCTACTGAGTTTCGTCCCTATCATCGCTTTGCAGCCAGTCTGTGTGTGGTGGATGGTGTGGTATTTATGGGTCAACGCGTAGTAATCCCACCTGCATTTCGAAAGCATGTACTTAATGCACTACATGTAGCCCACCAAGGTGTCAGTGCTATGCGTGCCCCTGCCATAGACTCAGTGTATTGGCCTGACATCACAGTTGACATTGCAAGAGTAAGGGACCAATGTTCACATTGCCACCAGATGGCTAAGTCCAACCCGATGCAGCCCCCATCAGACATAACACCACCAGATTACCCATTTCAGATGATCTGCAGTGACTACTTCACTTACAACAGCAAGGACTATGTGGTGATCGTGGATAGATATTCCAGCTGGCCTATAGTGCACAGATCAGATTCTGGGGCAGATGGTCTTGTCAAACGACTGCGAGAGACTTTTGTGCCATTTGGCATTCCTGAGGAGTTGACATTAGGTGGGGGCCCGCAGTTTACAGCAGGGAAAACACAGGAATTCCTCAAAGCCTGGGGTGTTCTGCATAGGATTTCATCGGTCACAAATCCACATGCTAATTGCAGGGCTGAGATGGCAGTGAAGACTGTAAAACGCATGCTCATGGACAACATAACCGCGTCTGTTTCTCTCGATGTGGACAAGTTTCAGAGGGCCCTACTGATGTACAGAAATTCAATTGACCCAGAGACAAAGGCATCACCAGCATTAGTTTTGTTTGGTCGACCAATCCGTGATGCCATCCCAATACTGATGGGTCCCCTTGGCCTAAGGATGCTCCAGACCAAATTTAGTCAAAATCTACCTGGCCGTTCAGGAAAAGTAGCGTTTTAAAGAAAAAGTTGACGCACGGACGGACGAAGGCCAGACAACGGACGCTGCGGTATGGCATAGGCTCACCATGAGCTAAGCAAGAGGCCCAATGGGCCTGCATCACTCACCTGGTATTTATCTCACACTTGTAATCTTAAAAGTGGACTAAAATACAGCTACAGGCAGAATATCAGTGTATGATTCATAAGAACCTATTAAAAGATTTAAACATCTGACCACTGTGACCTTGAAAGTAGGTCAAGGTCATTCATTTGAACAAACTTGGTAGCCCTTCATTCCAGCATGCTACAGGCCCGATCAGTACCCTGGGCCTTTTGGTTAGTGAGAAGAAGTTATTTGAAGATTTTAAGACATTTGACCCCTGTGACCTTTAAAGTGGGTCAAGGTCATTCATTTGAACAAACTTGGTAGCCCTTCATCCCAGCATGCTACGGGCCAAATATCAGTACCCTGGGCCTTTTGGTTATTGAGAAGAAGTTGTTTGAAGATTTTAAAACAATTGACCCTTGTGACCTTGAAAGTGGGTCAATGTCATTAATTTGAACAAACTTGGTAGCCCTTCATCCCAGCATGCTACGGGCCAAATATCAGTACCCTGGGCCTTTTGGTTATTGAGAAGAAGTTGTTTGAAGATTTTAAGACATTTGACCCCTGTTACCTTGAAAGCAGGTCAAGGTCATTCATTTGAACAAACTTGGTAGCCCTTCATCCCAGCATGCTACAGGCCCAATATCAGTACCCTGTGGCTTTTGGTTATTGAGAAGAAGTTGTTTAAAGTAAAATATTGACGATGGACGGACGCCGCACCACGGCACAGTAAAAATGTGGACGAAATGTCTCACTGTATCGCTGTGCTTAAACTATATCGACGATACTCAAATTTTGTTCCATTGACCTCGAGCACCATTTCATGCAAAATTACGCACTTACCGTGAGTGTCTTGTTTGTTTGTTTACATCCACCATGTTGTTATCTTTGTGATTCCGCTCACAGTCGTAAATGTGCCGGTTATGTGGCAGACGAAAGGTAAAAGTCCATGCGCGTACGGCGAGGATTGAGAAAATGAAAAATATCATGGTAAATTTAGTGGCGAACACTGCTCTATAATTCCGGAAAGACATATCATGTAGGATAGTATTGTGATTTCTGTAAAATAAAACAAGTTGTAAGTGTAAAAAAACCTATTTTGTATTTACTTTGTATAGGTTGATATACAATCTCTAACGTAAAAAATGGTATCATGGTAATTTTTCCGGATGTTTTAAAATCTTAAACAAATTATTATTCACCACGTGAGGTCAAAGGTTGGTGGCAGACGATACAGAAGGAAAAGCTCATGTTGTAAGTTTGAAGCTCGAACGAAGGTTATCATATTCTGGATATATTTAATTATTGACCGTTTATGTCACTCAAGTTTATCACGGTGGTTGTATTATTACAGACATAACTGATGCTGAACAGTGATCAGAAGGCAGTGAACTGAATATGGGGGAGAAATCTGGTGTCAGGCGCAGAAGAATTGTTGGCCGTCGGTCCGATGATCTGGACAGGGATCCATATCAAGAAGAAAAATCTCCGGGGTATGACTCTCATTTGTCAACGACATGTAGCATAAAGTCCTATACGTTATTATGTGTAAACTAATTTGAAAAGCCAAAGCCTTGAAAGACCAAGAACGTAGTAGCTTTTGTTGATCTCTGATAACTACTGTCCTGATTCAGAATACTGCTTTCAGAATGAGATGAGATAAACTTCATTTAAGTCGGCAAGTCGAGAAATAACAATAAAGCACAAGCTCTAATGAGATAAAGACCAACATAACAATAGGGCAGACCGGGGCAAGTTCGGCCCATATTTATTAAAGTGTGTTCTGGGAAATACATTGTATGGCTGCACATCCGTTATTGAATATTATTTAACTTTTCCTGTCAGAACATCGGATGGCCGAATGAGCCCCGCCATGGGGTACGTTCGGAAAGGCATTCAGGTAATTTCGGCCTCTAATGGAATCAGTTTAATTATGACGTCACAAAGCATGCAACGCAAGATTTTACCTCCAATTTTACTACTTTTTATGTGTTAAATGGGCTGTCGAGAAATGTAATAGTTAGAGTAATGGCGCCAAACTACGGACACCTTATTCACGGCGTATTATGAAGTTGTATCCAATTGTCTTTATGACATCATCTATATGTGAGCTCATCTTTTTAAATAAACAACAATGAAGTAGAGTCGTATTCCGGACCTCATTTATAGCATTAAACCAACACAACCATATATATATATATATAATCCAATACATGGGCCGAACTTGCCACAGTATCATTGGCCAAACCTTTTCGGGCCCATGTACAGCAATATGGTAGTGAGTGCTTGGCTAAGCTTTTATGTATATCATTTGAAGCTGTCAGTGTGTTACACGTTTGACCCTAAAAAGTAGCAATTCCGTTGACAGAAAGTTTGCAATAGATACAAAGGTAACCAGTAATAAACCATCGTTTAGAAGCGAGATCATGATTTTCTTTCTACCCGCTCCTCACCATTTTTTCGTGTGAATGCCAAGCTAGCTGAATTAACTGTAAGATCCTTCAAGTTGAAAATAATTTGCTCAAAAACAAATATATCAGTGGTGGCCGAACTTGCCCCGGTCTCCCGTATGTATATATTTTTTTGTATCATTGATGATAGGTAAAAATGTATTCACAGTATAATTTTTGCATCAATGACGCCATTTACTCCTAGTCAAAGCTGAAGTAGATATTTGTTCTTGTGCGTAACGTATATGATTGGTCGGGTGGGGCAGTGCGCTCGTCTTAATAATTCACCAAGATTGCCGGATTCAATCCCGGTCACTTGTCCGACCACGCTGGTTTTCTCCGGATACTCCAGCTTCCTCCCACATTAAGAATTAATTAAATCCTCTGCATGCTTCCGTCACCAGTGCACAAAAAGAATGATTGAGATTCATGATGTAAGCTGGGAAAAATCTGTTTGGTAATTGCTATACCAACACAAACCCACGGGTGCGGCGACCCACCTGCATGGTGGTAAGAACCTGTTTCCGGCTCCAGAGCATCACTCCACCTGAAGAGAAGCTTAAGCTACTCCAACTGGGGAAGACCGACAACCGCCCGAACAGGGCAGCCAATCAGCAAAGATGCCTTGAGTGCATTTTACATATTTGACGATTAGTCCTAAGTAAATGACAAATGTATAGAGATATTAGTTAAAAAAAGGAAACTAAAAAAAGAAAACATTTTAATACTTTGATGAAACTGAGATTGTCGTTATATCGATATGTACATGTGGTCTCAATTCCTGTTCCATCCTGAAACACGGGATTGAATTTCTTTTTTTTAACTCTCAACAAGGTTTGACGGGTAATGATGCCAAATCTATGTAAACAGTTTCTGTCTGTATCTAGTTATAAATTGGGACGCGTTGTGAAAAGTAATTTAATGCGTTGCTGAAAAATGGCGTTGGACTCGGATTGGTTGTCTGAAAAATTATTGTTAATTTGGACATAAATGCAGACATTTATGAGTGCAGGTGATGCAAAAATAAATAATGTAAAGACTATAACCAGACTTTCAAAAATGTTATTTATTTCGTTCATATTCTCAACAAATGGAAATCAAAAGCTGATGAAATTTTAGATGATGAAAAAATAAATGCTGGCTTTTTTTGAAGAGATCTCTCGGTAGAAATATTAACAGAACCTGGTTGAAGACAAAAGGATCTTCAGAAAATATCTGCATTTTTAGCTCACCTGGTTCGAAGGACCATGGTGAGCTTATGCTATATCGCAGCGTTCGTCTGGCGTCCGTCCATCAACTTTTCCTTTAAAACGCTACTAGTCCTGAACTAAATTTGGTCTGGAGCATCCTTAGGCCAAGGAGACTCAATTTTGTATAAATGGTGGGTGTGCCCCCCTTGGGGGCAGTGGGACAGGGCGGAATAGGGGAATAGAGGTAAAACCTTTAAAATCCTTTTTCTACCATAGGGCTTAAAATGTTTTTGTTTGAACAAAGTCCTTCATCAACATCATTGTTTTCATCGATGTCGTCACCACTGCTCGTACCATTTTCATCAGAATAATAATCATCATCATCATCTTCATCATCCGTTACATAATTATCAGTTGGATAATCATCTAAAATAAATGTATAAATCACTAAATCATTGGACACCCGACATATATAATTTTTATTTGCATTCAAATATGTGTGCCTTCCAATACATTGCCTTGTTACTTTCTAATTTAAAAGCTATCGAAAGGAAGACAGTAGTGTTGTTCCCTTTGTATACTTTCTAAAGTCACAAGTGTGTACCTATACAGTTAGTGGAATACTGCGAATCCATTGACATCATCAGCCGGGTCCATCAGTCTCTAGTCGTTTTAACCCTTGTCCCGGAACGTCCTCGTGATGGTGGGTCGACAGTGGCTTACCAACTCACTGCCCGTCAATGGATGGCTTCAAGTCTTTCTCCTCAAATCTGTTCCACAACCAGCATGATGCGCGCTCAGCAGCTTCTGCTAGTCTGCGCACCGCTGTCTTGCCGACCACACCCACAGCCTGTAATATCTTCCAGATTGAGCATGCCAGGAACCCTCTGCATCCAACCTCCACAGGAAACAGCCAAGTATGCCACCCTTGCTCCCTACATTGTTCCATGAGCTCTGTATACTTAGCTCTCTTTCTATCATCGGCCTGGTCGCACCACTCCTCCCAGGACACAGTCAGCTCGATGACTATAATCTGCCTGGATTTGGCAGACCATATCACCACATCCGGACGTAGCGTTTTCTGTACGACGTCCGGAAGTAACAATTTCTTCCCAAGGTCAACTCTCATCCCCCATGTGTTTGCCCCTTCCAGAATGCCAGTGTTGTCTCTTTCTCCCCTGCTTTTAGAAACCGGATAAAGGATGGATTGTGCTTACGAGGTGGTCTCTTCTTTTTTCTTTCCACCTCTAGAACATCTGCAAATTCCTGGAGTACCTGGTCATACCTCCATCAGTATCATCCTTGTGTCAGCTCTGTCTTGCATATGCTGAAAGGATATAACCCATGGTCCCAAGTTCTTAACATAGCTGGCACTTTGGCTCCTCAACTAGTCCCCACAGATGAAGGTTCGCTGGCGACGGTAAAGTGTTGTGTATCGACCGCAACAGGAACTGGATCATCAATGGTTCATAGCGCCACAGGTCTGTCCATGTAAGTTTCCGCCCAACATTTTCCGTCTCATCCATGCTCCTTGAGAACCCATTTCCACTGCCCTTGCTTTCCTTGTCCTTTCTTCTTCTCTGCGGATTTCCCCCTGTACCAGAGACCTTTTCTCCTTAATGTCTGTTCCTTCCCACGTCTGGAAATGGTTGTCCCTATACCTTACCGTCCTGAGCAGGTTGCTCCGACGATGTCCCGGTGCCTAACAGCTCCCTCAGCCTGCTCCACAGACTGGCTTGCAGACCATTTCCTAGTCTGGATTCCTGCGTGTCTTATCTTCTTTGAATCAACCGCCATGGGCATATTTTATACACTTTATAAAGAATTCCACTATGGCATGGAGCTGATCCAGTTCTTGCCTTCTTAACAACATCTTGGATCTCCTTCCAAGTTGGTACCTTGATGTCAAGCGGAAACTCTGGCATCTTCTCTGCTTCTATCCATCGATAGATCCCAAGTGGAATGCCCCTATCTTCATCTCCATGCGTTTCCTTCAGGTGTTGCTCAATATCTGATGTTGAACTATCCCAACGCCCTGATCTTTCCCCCTCCCAGCGAAGTCTTTGTAAAGGACCCTTATTTGTTTACAAAGACTCTGCTGAAATAAGGGTCCTTGATAAAGGACTCCCTCTTCCTTGCTCTATCCTTCCTTGCCTTCTTAACATGCTCTGTTTTCATGAGTCTTGCCAGGTTCTCCCTGATGTCGTCTCGCAGCTGATGTAATCCTATCCTCTCTATATCACTTGCCCTCTTGTACTGTCGTGTGGCTGCTTTCAGTTCTTGTCCGAGTCGTTGGATGGTATCCTGTCTTCTATTCAGGATGATAATGTTCTTAGGATTTCTCTGCTTTCCTCCTACTCCAAATATTTCCTTGCAGAATGTGTAGATAATAGTTCCCATTGCCTCAACCTTCATGTCTTATAAGCTTCCCATTAGAGCCGACTCTAGGATGGTATCTAAGTCAGCGTCTAAGCTTCTCCAAACTTCATTGTTGTCCATCTTTGGCCAATCTATCCTCAACCTACGTGCTGGCTGTGTTGGATGTGCTTGAACACCCTGGTCGTGGTTTGTATCACTCAAGTCCAAATGACCGACCTGTGATGAAACTGAAACAGGATTGTGGGTTTGATCCCCGATGGAAGCACATGCACACTGCTAGCACTCTCTCCCTGTCACAAATGGTGTCCCTGGCCCTCCCTGTAGTGACCGGGAGTTAGAACCTTGGCTGTAGTGTTTGAGGCAAACACTTTTAAAAAATGGGAGTAGTATGGCAGGTTTTAATTGTACATTGGATACGGTCGCCTTCTATCTTCGAGCTTGAGGGAATTAACCTTTAGCTCAGTGGTAGAGCATATGACTAGGTTTAGTAGGATATATCAGATTGGAGATTGCAGGTTCGATCCCCGGTGGATTTGCACACTGCCCTCTTTCCTGTCACAAATGGTGTCCCTGGCCCTCCCTATTGTGACAGGGAGTGAGAACCTTAGCTGTAGTGATTGAGGCATTGACACATTTAGAAAAGGGGGGAGTAGTGTGGCAGATTTCAGTTGTGCATCAGATTACGGTCGCCTTCTAGCTTTTAAATTGGCTAGAGGGAATTAACTTTTTGCTCAGTGGTATGATTTTTTTGGCACAACGTTTCAATGGGACAGCCCTCTTTATCAAATGCCTCAATGTTTATGTCAAGTGGTAGAGTGTCTGACTAGAAAGTATGGGATCGCGAGTTGGATCCCCGATGGAAGCACACTTCTCTCTTTCCTGTTACACTAACAACCATGGCTACCATAGTCAGTGTTTTTGTTACCTAAATTTTACAACAGCCCGTTTCTTCATGAATTGGGAAAATATATCATTATTTGTATTGAAATTGTGAATACCGGTATATTCCTCAGTTTTTGCTCATTTTGGGAATATAAGGCACTTTTAAGCTAGCTAGGGGAAATCGCCTGTATTCGGCAGTAAACGGAGCAGAAAACATCACTGATAGTTGACATCTTAGCAACCCACTTTGACTATTTTTATTTGTGCAGCATTTACACATTTTTTTGGCATATAAATATAGAATTGACCTTCATTTTAATGGTGTATATGCTAATATGAATGCAGTTGGCAGCAAACATATTCTTCATAAAGTGCTAATTAATGCACACCATAGAATATATGTTCATTGCCAGCTGCATTCATACTACGTATCTGCTGTCGAGATGAAGGTCACTCCTTATTATTCTATTATGGCCCTTTCCCGAGGGAACTGTTCTCTTTTAGTGTTGTCTGGGGAGGCACTATACCTCTCCAGACAACACTATAAGAGAACTGTTCTCGAGGGAAAGGGTCATAATAGATTTAGTACATCACATGACTGTCATTTGACAATAAAAAGTAAGATATTTAATAATTAACAACAAATGGCAATAAGATAATTTTTTAGTAGATCTCTCCTTTTTTGTTGCGTATTCAATTCACTGGATTGAATCAGCGCTAGGTCACATACGGTTCCCCTTTCCAGTAGGAAGTCTTTAAGGACTGCGATGTCAAATGGTGTCACTTGCTTCATCTTTATGCATTGCTGAGCCTCTGCGAAGCAATGGGCATTCCTGGTCCCGAAATTTGAAGCCATTTTGGCAGTCAACAACAATGAAGTGAAAGTAGAATATCTACAGCGCCCCCTAGGAGAAGGGGCGCAACTCTTAGCGTCATGCTACTTTTCTCACAGTCTCAGCGGTCCAAAAAAAAGGTATAGTGCCCGTCTCAAGGTATAGTTCATGTATAGAGAAGTTATCCAATAGTTATCCTAGAAATTATCATGTGGTGTACTAAATATATGTACTATGCAGCATCCTCGTCTGAATAAAGGTGTAGAACTCGAAGTCCCATGAAATAGACAAAACGAAGGGTTATAGGCATGCATTGATGTCATCTTATATTAGTTTTTCTTTAAATGTTACATACATTGTACCTTAAGCTCTGACAGGATCATCAACTCTATATTAATATGGTAGACATTGCTGATTGTAATGGTTGAATTTGGAGCTGGATTATTACCAGACCAAACCATGGTCTGTTTGAAAACTGGTCCATCATTCTTTGAACATACACTAGGCCTTTTAGACATTTATTTTCAGATTCCATCTCCAGTTATTGTTATTGTAATGAATATGTATAAGGTGATATGTGAGTGTTTCATGTGTGTGCATGTGCATTTGAGCATGTTATTGTTACAAACAACATGATTGCATGATTGGCTGCACATTTATAATGTGAATATTATAACACTGCCTTTAAATACTGTTCTAGCTTTTACTTTGCAGCAAAGCTTAAGCATTGATAACATCCAGACACTTCTGAACTATTAGGAAAGGCCATGAATAAATACCATATTTGATTAATATACAGCATTTATGTTATACCTCAGATTGTGTATGAACATGCTCTGTGCGATAGGATGCTGATACATAGTTTTCAGCAATCAGTTATACATTTCAAACCTACATATGCTATTTGACAGGAATATATAATTATGACAGGATCAAAAGCCAGTTGTCTCCACTGAAAATCTGAAGTGTTACAGATGGATTTTTACACCCTTTTTGGAAGCAGCCTGAGTTTTAATTTTCTGGCAGCAGGTGGGAGACTCAACTAATTAAGTGACTTGTGTTTTTCCAAATCACCATATTCATATCAATCTGAATGGCTTGTGATTGTGTTACAGATGGAACAGAGCTGCCTGCCTCATCGGTGTGTTTGCAGCCCTGATTCTGACACCCATCATCATTGCCGTGATTCCTGCTCCAATAGAACCTGTGGTATATCTGTAAGGATTTTGTTCTTGTTTACTGTGATAAACAAATAATAGCACAACTTCTAGAGTTGTGAGGCCAGCTGTCTGGTTCAACATCCTGATACTTCAATAAACTCATTTTGTCACTCTATTTCTTTAAAATTTCATTTTCCATCAGTCGTTCAACACACTTGAATTTTCCCATCATAATTTTATACTCTTTTCTTCATTGAATAATCGGGGAAACATATCAATGATTCAATTAATATGATACTTGTTTTCACAGTTATGTTGTATATATATGTTAGCATTTTTTCCTGTAATGAAACCAATGAAAGTACTAAATTATGCTAGCTGCTAAGTTCTAAATCACAGTGTTGCTGCATGTTATATGTACTAGGTTAAAGGCTTAATCATGTTATATGTACTAGGCTAAAGGCTTAATCATGTTATATGTACTAGGTTAAAGGCTTAATCATGTTATATGTACTAGGCTAAAGGCNCATGTTATATGTACTAGGTTAAAGGCTTAATCATGTTATATGTACTAGGCTAAAGGCTTAATCATGTTATATGTACTAGGTTAAAGGCTTAATCATGTTATATGTACTAGGTTAAAGGCTTCATCATGTTAAATGTACAGGTTAAATGCTTAATCATGATATATGTACTAGGTTAAAGGCTTAATCATGATATATGTACTAGGTTAAAGGCTTAATCATTACATATGTACTAGGTTAAAGGCTTAATCATGTTATAGGTTCATAAAACATGTTATTAAATTATTAATTTTATCTTTTTAATACCTTTTGTATTCAGTTAATAGTAAATTGTGCAGATCTTTCTTTGTTGTTGAATAATTAACATTTCAGACCGGCATGTCAAACTGTTCAGTTCATGACAACTGATCAATGTAAAATCCACGGCCAAGTTGTTCACTGTAAAATGTAAATCCAAGATTTCATATTGCATTTGTTTTTACCATAGACTCAAAGAGCCCCCTGTCTTTGAGGGACCATTAGAGCCAAACACTCACCTGCAAAAGGCAGAACATATATATGAGGACCAAGTAATAGGACCAGAGTCCATTGTTGTTGATGGAGGTATTTATAACTCAACTTTATCGCTGATATCACTGATGTGTTCATCTTGGTGTTTATACTCCCATAAACAAAGTCCATCAGTCTGTTCTTGTAAGAGCAACTCTTCCTAAAATGTTTATTGAATGTTTTTTGTAACTTTATACATATTTGTACATTGAAAAGCTGTGCATGAAGAACAAGTTTTGTTCTATTTAAGAGATACTTTATCACTAATGTACAGCTTTTCTGAAGGGGGGGGCACCAAAAATGATATAGTTGAGATGAAGGGGGGGTATTATAAATATTTGTAAACTCACTCACAGTTTCTCCAGTTTAAAAATAAATTTTCACTATTTTAGTAATGTGTAATACATTATAGTGAGCGTGTAATCTGAGTTTATAGAAACATTATAATAACATTAATGAGACCAGATTGATGACATCTTTGTTAACCCTGAATTACTTTTCTGCAGACCACATTTACACTGGCACTGCTGATGGAAAAATATTACATATTCATAAAGGGGAGATAACTGTCCTGGCAAGACTTGGAGTGGAGCCGTGTGGTAAGCATAATGTACCTTCATTAATTGATACCACTGCTTCAGAGAATCAGAAAATGGGAAAGTTGTAAGTTTATTATTATATTCATTTGAAAACAGATTCAAAGAGAAATATCTGTTAATTGTTAGGTTATAAGATTTCTAAGCAAGCTTTGCAAATTGTTGTCCTGCAAAATGATATAGGCAATTTGATTTTATTAATAATAGATATATGTAGCTAATAAAGAAAAGGTTAACAATACCACATTACAATACCACACTAACCCTTTCTAAAAACTGTTTAAAATCTATTTTGCTTTCTTATTTTGAATTGTTCCGCATTATGTTTTTTATACCAGGTACATTTGAATCAGAGCCAACATGTGGTCGCCCTTTGGGAATGAGACTGGACAAAGAAGGGTATTTAATTGTTGCAGATGCATACTTGGGGCTTTTCCGAGTAAATGTAGCTACAGGTAAGACATATGGAATCTTTTTATTGCATTTTCACCTGTGAAATATCAGAAAGCATAAATTTTGATAAGAAGTTATCTTAATTCCACTGCAGTGAATATATTGTTATTTTTTACATGTGAAGATGATGTCTCTTTGAAATATTGACCAATGAGAACAGTACTTTTCATTTGCTGCATTCAATGCTGTAGATTTTTAGTTTGAAGTGCAGATTAAGCAATAGTAGATTAAGTAGTTGTTTTGGTACACCTTTGCTGCACACATTCAAAATGGTGGACAGAGCCTTGCTGTCAAGTGTGATGTGATTAGAACCTGGTGTTAAATATTCACCAATTATTCCTGCACTTTTTGAATTCAGCAATGTGTTAAGATTTTACCTGAAAGTGTGTCATAAATAGAATTTTTACTGGTTTTTCAATTCAATACCATATTTTTTCACTCACATGGCAGATTACACCAATTTATTCATTTCTGCTTTGCACTCTTGAAAAAAATTGGTGTTCTGTCATACTTGTGCAATATATATGGTATTCATTGGGAAACCAGGTAATATCCTCTATGTAATATGTATCAATTTGTAGAAGATAAAGAAGATCAGTGACTGAATGTTATTTTAGTAAATTATTTTAACTCTCTACCTGATCACTGGCATATTGGCACAATCAAATGTGAGACAATCATAATCTATCACAAAATCATTCACTTTGTGTTTCTGTACTTGTTCATGTCAGCTTCAACAGTTATCTTTTGTATGCTATATGAAATATTGTACATATACATTTGTTCTGAAGTCAACACGTAGAATTATCCAGGGGTGTACAACCCCACAAGCCTAATGCTGGAGTAGATGATATGTCAGCTGGGCTAGCTAAACTTTATATTACTTATTATAAAAATGAAAGAACGGCTTGTAGAAATTTTCAAAATTTTCTGTGAGATAGTACTATGAGTATTAAATTGGTACATCCCTGATTGTCCCTATTATAATGGTACATCTAAATCATATATATACATCTGTTTGTTGAATAACCAGGTGATGTGTTTGCCCTATGGCCATCCTCCTTCCCTATTGGTGGTGACAAGATCCGCTTCCTCAACGATGTGGCAGTTGCCAGCAATGGGCTCATCTACATGACAGACTCAAGTACCAAATGGGACCGCCGCCACAATCGGTACCTTGTGCTGGAGGCAGACAGGACTGGCAGGTAGGTTACCACAATAACATTAATGCACATTTTCTAAATACATGTAGATGACTTACATATTTACAAACAGTTAAGTACCCTTAAGCAGTGAAATGTTTCCAAACTGTGAAAGATATTTTAACTGAAATCTTTTAAATAGTGAAATATCTTTTAACTGTACAATATCTCTTTCAACAGTGAAATGTTTGTATACATGAAAATACATATTTAAATATTCATAAACAGTGAATTATTTACTGATAAATTTGTATAAAGATCAGCAAACTCTGAAGGGAAAAATCCATTCTTTATTTACCAAAATCAATGCATTAAAAATGATAAAATACTGGTAAACTATATTCACAGAATGCTGATAAACCAAACAGGTGATAAGTGAAACATTTTATGAAAGATGCATATACTTTTCTTTCATGGGTTAAGTTTGTATGCAAGTAGTTTCTTTATTGGAGAGCAATATTTGTGTATGTGATCAAAATCCTGTAGCTATATTATTATATTATATTATAGGGGAATGCTTCTTCAACAGTGAAAAATCTCTTCAAATTAAAATTTGTCCAAACAGTGAAACATGCTGGTATGTAAGTGAAATACTTACTTTTAACGACAGACTGTTGTTGATTGATGATGATTGCATTGTTTATGTTAAGGTTACTGGAACATGACCCCAAGACCAACACCACAGCAAGGATAGCCAGTGTCATTTCCTTTGCTAATGGTATACAGCTGTCACAGAAAGAAGACTTCCTCATGATATGTGAGACCACAAAAGCCAGAATTCTAAAGTAAATATTTTTGCTAATAAGAGTAAACATTTTTGTCAGTGGTTAACATGTTAAAATAACTATTCAAGTAAAATTGGAAATGGCATTTTCAATGTTTTCTTTGTCTGTCGGTTATATGGTAAAACATAGAGGGTTTTTATTGGCATGGATCTTGGAGTGTTGAGACCAAAGGGGCCACGGTAGCCAAGTGGTAAAGGTGTTTGACATTCTGCTTCCACTAGCCCTCTGCCACTGGGTCTCGGGTTTCAGACCTACGTGGGGCATTGACCAGGCCGTAGGTTGGTGGTATTTCTATGGGAACTCCAGCTTTCCTCCACTACCAAAACATGGCACGTTATTAAATGACCATATATATATAGCTATTAATAGGACGTAAAACACAAACAAACCAAACCAGACCAAAGAATATTGGGTAACCTATATTGTTGAGATAGATCAACAAATACTGTCTACAATGTGAATAATAATCAGTTCAACATCTGATATAAATATAGACAAAGAAGAAAGCACTGGAATAATGTGTGTGGGTGTGTGTTTTTCCTTCAGATATCAGTTAACAGGGCCAGGATCAGGGGAGGTAAGCGTGTTCATTGACAACTTGCCTGGCCTTCCAGACAACATCCGTCCAAGCAGCTCTGGTGGATACTGGATAGGCATGTCTGCAGTTCGCCAGGGAGGAAAGTTTAACTTGATAGATTATGCATCACAGAGGCCATGGATAAGAACTCTCATCACAAAGGTAACATTCTGTAGGAAGTTCAAATTCCCACTCATATTTCTCATCTAACACATTATACTCTAGAATAGGGCTGTCAGGGTTACAAAATTTAGAACCAGTGTACCAGGAAATCATCACCTGTTGTATATCATGGTTCTGTGCAATGTACCAAAGTATGACTATAGATACTTGTATTGTCAATATGTACATTTGGAAATTCCCTGAATCACTTATCCTGTTGCGTCTGAAGTACAAACAGAATGGGAATGAAGCAATTGGTGTCGGAAAGGTAGTGCAAGATTTTAACATTATTTATTAACATTCTTCTACAGGCAAGAATCTTTATTGAAGCACAAAAATATTTAAGCACATAAGATATATATGAATTAGTGCCCTTGGATAAAAACGAAAAAGTTGTGTTTTATAAAAATGTTCCAGTACCCCGAATGGATAACCAAAACATCATTTTATTCATTCATTGAAAACTCAGAGAATGAAATATATTCATTTATGGTAATATCAAAGGAAAGCTATCAAAAAATTTGCATGGTTATGCATTCTATGACTGCATAATTGTAAAACATTATCTGTTGACATTTTGAAAGATTTAAAATCCTTTTTTGTGAAGAATGATCTGATTTGGGTCCTTACTCCTTAATCCTTGTAACATTTAACTTGTACTCTCATACATGCCAACTAAAAGCATTCCAGTTCTCTTATTTAAAATCGAAAAATCAAAAAACAAATCAGTGACTGTGACTGCCTTTTTTTGTATGAAGTAGATTAAATCAGATTTCCACCTAGAATGTGTTTGGACTGTTTACTAACTGAACAGAGCCTAATATATACAGGTGGGAACCACACACAAAACAAAGGCAATGTGAATTCTTATTATGGACCAAGGTTTCTTTGGTGAGAATCGGGGTAGACATCTGATCACAGATATATGAAGCTGTTGTTGACAAATGAAACAAGCCTAGGAGATTAAGTATGAAATTGTACTGAAAACCTGTTACTTTCAGTGATCGAAACATGTGAATGGATTGTGTATATCCTGTTTTATTTTGCTTTGACTGATATCTTTTATTTTCAACAGTGTTTCAAATATTACTTTGACTTGTGGGTAAGAATATTTATTTTAGGCAGTAAAAATATGTCCCAGCTATAATTCCTGACCACCTCACCTACAATATATCTATCCTGAAATCCTGGGGAGATCACTGCAGGAAACAAAATGGCTAGGAAAGATAACTCCTACAGACCATCTCACATACCATGTTCATTTAGTCATTTATCAGGTAACTTAAATTGTGATTCGCTTTTATTTCTAATCTTTATTTTAGGAACAGCACTGGTGTGGAAACTATTACCCAAACAAAAATTTCCACATTATTGTATGTTAATTTGATTTTTGTGTTCCAGGTTAGCACTGCCCGAGTAACATAGTTGAGGAACTGTGCTGTAGATTAATGAATTAAAATGTCTTATTTTCTCATTTTTAGCTGTTCTCCCAAGATATGATAATGAGATTTGTACCAAAGTATGGCTTGGTGATTGAGGTCAGTGCTGAGGGGAAGATACTACGGAGTTTGCATGACCCCACAGGAAAGGTCATCCCATCAGTGAGTGAGGTGGAGGACAAGGATGGAGTGCTATATCTAGGCTCTTATAACCTTCCATACATGTCCAGATTGTATCTATCAGGTCTAGATAAAAGTAAAAACTAATTCCAAATCATCAGTTTCAGATATTGGATTAATAGCATTTGATCAATTATTTTCAATCATCCAGAATCATAACATTTGTAGAACAGTTAAACTGTTACCAAACACAGCTTCTTTGAAAGAACCTGTCCCTTTACCTTATTACCCTATTTTTCTGTTACTTTCCATGTTCAAAGTCAAAAGTAGAAAAAAAGGCCTGTTAGATATCTTCAATTCTCTGTTAGATGAAGATGACAGTGTACATATCGTACTAGTCATCGAAACGTCACATAGAAAATGTTATTGGTTGTGTAAAAAGAACTTCTCATGATCCATACTTACCAACCCGTAGAAAATGTTCAGAAATATCTTTCATGTAGTTTTGTATATTTTTTATGTCTAAATTTTGACTTAGGCAGATTAGATTTGTATATTTATTCAGAAGTCATTACACTTGTTATGTATTTGCTGTTGATTGTTGTAATGTCGAGTAAAACATTCCTTTCTTTAGAAAAACATTATGTAAACTAGCTGTCTACATATTCAGTTTGTTTTGTTAGTAATATTTAACAGTTAACTTTGTTCAAATAAGACCGATTAGATTAATTGGTCAATGCTTGGACCAACACTTCACCACAAATTGTTCAAGTTTTTTATCCAAATTGTTCTAGGTTTTTACAAGGATTTTTTTAGCATCTTCAATGGTTATGCTGTTACTTTCTGTCATTTTAGTTTACTATGATGATTACTATTAGTTTTCTAGTCAAAGCATTTGTTAAATAGCTTAATTGGTTAATTGGAAACTTAAGCTCAGACAAAACTTGTTACTGTTATAACAAATGTGTGTGGTTCCTATATATGAAATGTATTTATATCCTAGTTCTTACTGAGATTTTCAGACTAAAGGGTATAGAACAATTTCATAAAATATGCAAAGATACAAAACAGACAACATTTGTTGTCTTTCTTTTAAGTTTAGTGACTTACATGTTTTACTTATATGGCAAGACTTTTGAATAGGTGGCCGCCATCAGAGGGAGATATGGAAATTTGACCATCTATTGAAGGTGTTGGTTCTTTTCCTCCCCAACCCCACCCCACCCATACCCCACCCACTTCCCAGCCCCAACCATAACCCTCCCCACTTTTTATTTTGATTATGTAGCAAGTATTTATTATACATATACTTGTGTAAAGTGCAATCACAGTCTGAGAAATGGATCTCCAATGAATTCCTTTTTAATTTTCATGACAATTTATTGTTGAACAAACTTAAGCAGACTCAATGAAAGCATTCTTTATGTGTTTCACATTGCATATTTATATCTTAAAAATGGAAAACCGTTTTTGTAATGACAGTGATGTCCTGTCTATAGATACTATCACCAGATGGAAAAAAATCGAGGCTTTACTTGATACCAAGATCCCTACACATTTCACCCAAACTGAAACCATTACTGTTACATTATTTACTGATTTTCTGGTTTGAAAATTGTATGTTCATAATGTACTAGCTACATTATATTTTTTTGTCATCAAATTGTCTAAAAAATTACTAATTGTGTGTTATGAGGTCTTATATACTGATTTCAACGACCTGGTAAAAATTCCATTTGTTACTTTTATATTATATACTTACTGCCCAATCATGTCTGCAAAACCATACATAAACATAGGTATAAACAACACATGTATTTAACATATATATAGTCTGTCAAGTAGTATTGTGGTAAAACATGTTTTTGAATGGATGGAAGGAACTTTGTAAACAAGTAAACATTCATCAGGTATAATTGTAGTAAAACATGGCTTTTATATGGATTTAAGTAAAATTTTAAACAAGCTAATTTTTGTCATTTGCTTTTATGGGAAAACATGTTTTTTTATATGGATTATAGAAAATTTCTAAACAAATAAATATTTGTCGGTATCATCGTGGTAAAACATGATTTTTTATACAGATTGTAGGAAATTTGTAAACAAGTATATATTGATTCGTCAGGTATTATTGTGGTAAAACATGATTTTTTATATGGATTGTAGGAAATTCCCAAACATGCTAATGTGAATGGTTGTATAGAATGATCAATAATGTTTGTACACAGCTGCATGTGATTAATAAGGAAAGAAATGTTCTTTTAGTTCGCGTGATAGATGCATTAAGGTATGCAAAATAAATGATCATATGAATGGAGTGAGTATATAAGTTTGTATATCATTAACTGTAGCTAATATTATACTTGAGGTTCAAAATACAGATGGTTAAAGTTGTTTCTAACTTTAATTGAAATTGGAGTCAGTTTATTGTTAAGATTGTTATAAGAGCAAAGACACAGCAGGACCAATAAACTGAATTGAATTGAATTTGATTTGATTTTATTTCTTATAGCAGTAATAATAACAGTGGAAGTGGTATCAAATGTAAATACTTAAATAATTCATTAGGGATCAAGGAATTGGGATAAAGAGGATTCAAGCTAAGTTAAGGCGAGCATCTGGATCTAAATTTTTAACCATTTGTGGAAACATATTTCTTTGTGCAGATAAATTGTATTTATACAGTTTTTAGCTCACCTGGCCGGAAGGGCCATATGAATTTATGCCGTACTGCGTCGTCCGTCGTCCGTCGTCCGTCTGTCAACTTTTTCTTTTAAACGACTTCTTCTGAAGAACTGGAGGACCTAGGGTCATGATATTTGGCCAGTAGGTACCTGGGATGGAGTGCTATAACATTTCCTCATTAAAATTACCTTGACCTACTTTCAAGGTCGCAGGGCTCAAAAATGTTAAAAACTTCAAACAACAATATCCTAAGAACCATTTGGACTATAGTCATGATACTTGGGTATGTTATGTAGACCAGCTGTGCAAATCTTTTTCTTTATTACAGTAATGAGGTTAAAGGTCAACTTGAGGTGCTTGTCGGGGGTCACATGTCAACATGGGTTAAAAGCTTTTACAATCTTCTTCTCAAATTCGATAATGCCCAGGGTCATAATATTTGGCCAATAGGTACCTTGGATGGAGTGCTATAAAGTTTCCTCTTTAAAATGACCTTGACCTACTTTCAAGGTCACATGAGTCAAAAATGTTGGTTAAATGCTTTAAAATTACAATTTCAAATTTCAAACAACAATATCATAAGCGAAGAGATGTTAAAATGTCTTGTGTTCTAGTTACCAAATTTGGTCTGAAGTTACCTATATGTCAGTTTCATGTAACAAAAGAAACAGGTGAGCGATACAGGCCCTCTGGGCCTCTTGTTTACAAGATAAAATTCACAGCAGATCAATAAACTGAGTTAAAGAGGATTCAAGTCAAGGTCAGACAAGTTTCTTAATCTAATCTTTTTAACCATTTGTAGAACTATATTTTCTTTGCACAGCAAAAGTCTTATTTTATACATATTTTTTTCAAGAAAACATTGAAACTCGTCTTATAGCTACGCCATGTGTGGAAACACCAGTCCTTATTCAGACACAGAGGTTAGATCATCATCATAATTTTCATTGTTAATTCATTGTCAATTGTGATACTGTATTGGATTTTTTTCTGTAGCGGTGATTTCTAGATGCTGACTGCCATAGTTGACCTCAAGACATCGACTGCCATATTTTACCCGAAGACATGGACTCTGCCATATTGAAATCAGGATATTGACTCTCTGCCATTTTGATCTGGAGTCATTGACGCCAAGACATGTGCCATATTTGACCCAAATATATTGACTCTCGACATATCCAAAATACGTTGCATTCCTGTCATATTGACCCAAACATATTGACTCTCTGCCAAATTGACCTCAAGTAAATGATTCTCTGCCATATTTGACCTCAAGTCATTGCCTCTGCCATATTGACTTATAAGACATTGACTCTCTGACATATTGACCCCAAGACATTAACTCTGCCATATAAATCTCAAGACATTGACTCTCTGCTATATTGACCCCAAGACATTGCCATATATAAGAAATGTTATTGTCACCTTGTGACTCACTGTCGTATATATGAAATGTTATTGTCACCTTGTGACTCACTGTCGTATATAGGAAATGTTATTGTCACATTGTGACTCACTGTCGTATACAGCAAATGTTATTTTCACCTTGTGACTCACTGTCGTATACAGGAAATTTTATTGTCACCTTGTGACTCACTGTCGTATACAGCAAATGTTATTTTCACCTTGTGACTCACTGTCGTATACAGGAAATGCTATTGTCACCTTGTGACTCACTGTCGTATACAGGAGATGTTATTGTCACCTTGTGACTCACTGTCGTATATAGCAAATGTTATTGTCACCTTGTGACTCACTGTCGTTTATAGGAAATGTTATTGTCACCTTGTGACTCACTGTCGTATACAGGAAGTGTTATTTAAACCCTGACCCTTGTACAATGACTCTGGCAAGGGATTGTTGCATGTTGCTCTTCGATTACTGACTCACTGCCATATATAGGAAATGTTATCGTAATCTTGACTCCTTCATGCTAAAACTGTTTGTAACGACACTTGGAAACTAGCTTTGAGACTTCATAAACTTACTGATGATGTGGCACAAATTTTACTCAATTTCAGTCTGCGATTACATACTTCAGATACAAATGTACCCAGTCATATCGTACAGTTATTCTAAACCGATTGCGTCAGAAGCTTTTCAACTACAAGCAAACACTACAACAGTTGAATTTAGATCTCCCTACAGCATGTTCTTGTTCAACTATTACCACTAGTACACTAGACTCTTCATCAGCTCATTTCTTTTATCTTTACTTTTACCATTACTTAAAGGGATGGCTTACTACTAAGCTGTACGCTAAGCGTGATGATTTCAATTTTTCGATCATAAACATTCCCGTTCTTGATAATAACAGCCTTGCTTCTCAAACCTATGGTGTTTAAATGTAAAAGTTATTCAGTATTCAGAGGTTTTTCCGAATATCATTATTTATATGGTAGCTAACAACTGCTGATTCAAGTTGGTAACTGCAAGTATTATGGTCACTATTATGCTCTTATTGGGGAGATATCTATTTTTGTTTGACATGAAGGCCGATGTTTTTGATTTTGCGCATAAGTGTGCACTACCCTAGTTCTTGGTTTGAGGACGTGTTGTTATTACTTGACTTTGATCTAGACTGACATAACGAGTGTCATGGGTGGAGCAAAAGATGCTTACTCTTCTTGAACGTCTGGTCATAGGCTCCCTGTCCTTGTATCTTCCCTATGGTTTAGCTATATTGTTGGTTTGTTACAGGTTTTATCCCTTTTTGACACATGCGTTAGGTAACGCAAGTGTCTAGGGGATCGCGCATACTACAAAA